CCGACCGACCGACCGACCGACCGACCGACCGACCGACCGACCGACCGACCGACCGACCGACCGACCGACCGACCGACCGACCGACCGACCGACCGACCGACCGACCGACCGACCGACCGATCGATCGACCGACCGACCGATTCAAACGATTTTACTAACTTGAAACGGCTTCTCCTTCTAAAGGGTCATTGGTCTTCTTGTGTAGTCCTAGTTTGAAAGGAAAATCAATTTGACTTCAAGAAAGGCTAAGCACGAATTCATTTACTTGTTCACCAGTTCCCTCCCACCCAAAGGGTTTAAACATTGAACACGTTAGTACGATCGGATTGCATTGTTTTCTTTTGTTTCGGGTGTAGTCCTATTACGGGCCATGAAGTCGCCTTGGCGGTGCTTTCTTTGTTCTTCGTAACATAAACAAGCTGTTTATTAGATCGATTGAAACGGATTGCGAATGGATATTCGAAGCTCACATCAATTTCCCATTGTCCCATTTATCCCATTATTATCCCACTTTTTACTTTATGAATGGACATATTGTAATATTTGACCTTTAAACCGATCGATGGAAACAGATTTAATTGCGAATAGATATTCGAAGCTCACATCAATGGCAATAAATGAAAATCTAAAACACGACCGCATAGAATGTTAATGGACCATTTTCCTTTAAGATCCACCGTCAGTTGCGGGGACGGTAACGTCCTGTCCCGAAGTAAGCATACGAGTTTAATTAATTAAGCTAATAAATAACTGGATTATTAACTCAATTAGGTACCTTTTGAAGCGAGCGTCACAGCTGCAAGAGCAAAGATGATCAATAGCTTCATTATTCCAAATAAAATCCCGTTCGTCTTACTTCAAGCACAGCATTCAGTGACTGAATGAAACTTATAGATTTCTTTGGTTTCTTTATTGTAAAACCACTCACGTGTTGTTAATAATATTTATGGTAAAATCATGATTTTGAAGAGATTGTCAGAGAAAATAGCCAGTTGAAATGGTGGACTTTACACTGAGCTGCTGGTACTCAGTAAATTACAATGTAACATATTGAATACAAATTCGCAAAAAATAATGTCCTTACGTGACTTAAATATAACTACACCCTTAGAGGGATTGTAATTCACATCGATAATCAATACCAATAGCTCCTAAGAGTTGTGCAAGTGTCGAAAATAACGACGAAAGTAATTAAAACTAAATTAGGGTCACCAGCGAGAGATTTGCAATGAATGCGTGATTCAATGTGATTGGTTTGTAAGAAAAAAGGGAGGGAATTCCAGCATGGCCCTGTCTGATTGTATCAGGTACATAACTTYAAAACCCGCTTTGAATATATTCACATTTTGGTTTTTATAATAGAATCTCAATCGCCTGAATTTCCCAAAATCATCTTATAATTTTGAGTAAGATCAGTGTAATTCAATGATTAAGAATTGAATGGCTATGTTTATACTTTATTTGATCATTTTTTTTTCATGATTTCATTTAAACAGTCCACTCAACATATGCAAGTGATATCTCTCGCCAAAGTAACAAACACAAACGCAAGCATGAAGTTTCTCATTTCCMCCCATATCTACAGTAAAGCACTTTCCATGAATACAGTACCCATTATACTCTGGAGGACAGGATTCTGCAAAGGATATATAACACACTGTAGTGTCAGACAGGATAGAATGATCGCACTTAACACGTGCAAAGTGTACTACTAAATAATGCTATTTAGTTGAATTTATTTCCCTCAAGAAACGAGGCTCCAATGTTCAACTAGAAAAAAAATTAAAAAAATATCGCCATCAGTCATAAAAGACTACAAGGCTGGTTACAGAGCGTCCACACCACTCGTCTTTAAAGGCCGAATAAAACATCTTGAAACCACCTTTTGCCTCCCAAATCCCCTCAGCGGCATGTCTCTAGGATCCTTCTATCCAGAATTGGGCAATATTTCAACGGACTTCAAATCCAACCGTGCCAAATCGTCATGTTTGTACGCTATTCCGATTCAGTTTTTGAATCCGCTGAAGCATTTATCGACCTTGATGGACACCGTTCCCTCTGATTGGACGACAGTTACCATGGAATCAGTTCAAGTACTCCCGACTACTAMGGGGAGTGTAGGAATTTGWTAACGCTTGAAAGACTTTGCCTTTGCATCGCTCCTGAAAATAAACCTGCCAGCGTAAATGGCTTCGGTTGAAAACTTCGAAGCGCGTGAACGAGTTTTCCCGGAGCTGTGTACKTTCGGCCTCGGGCTTGGMGGGCCTTTTGGGGATGTAGGCAGTTGTACAAATTCCTACACTCCCTGTAGTTGTCGGGAGTACTTGAACTGATTCCACGGTAACTGTAAAAAAGTAGGTGAAACAACTTACTGACGTTTCGGAGTAAAGAGATTTTCAATGAATGCGTGATTGAACGTGATTGGTTTTAAAAAAARGAGGGAATTCCAGGATCCTGTCTGATTKTGCCAGGTACCTAACTTCAAACCCCGCTTCGAAGATATATTCGCGTTTTGGTTTTAGTAATARATTCTTAATCTTAATCAAAAGTGGTTTTGAAATCAGTAGTAAAATAAACGATAAAGACAACAAGTGAATTTTACGACGTTTCGAGGTCATACTGTTCTTAATCGCCTGAAATTTCCCCAAAATCGCCTTATAATAATTTTGAGTAGAAGTAGTGTAATATTTGCTATAATCGCTCAATGATTAATAATTGAATAGTAGATATTATACTTTATTTGACCATTTTTCATTATTTCATTTAAACGTCCTGCATTAAGGCAACACAATGAATTCACATCTTGTGCCCACGTAATTTCTGTGACAATGGCAAAGATATTTGTCATCCTCGGGCAGTTCGTCCACAGTAACGCACGTTCCATGAATACAGTASYCWTCATACTTTGGAGGACAGGATTCTGCAAAGGATAACRCACTGCAGTGTCAGGCAAGATAGAGTGATCGCACTTAAACCGTGCAACTGTTCAAACTAAATAGTGCTGTTTAGTTGTATTTAGTAAATCGTGCATGCGGTACGCAAATTAAATKGAATTGATACAAATGAAGCATTCAATACCGTCTTGAAGCGTGARCCGTGACGAAGACTATGTTAAGTATATTAACCTAAGCAAAAGCTAGTTACCTGAAGTGRCTTTTCCTTCTTTTGGCGKGTCCCAARAAGGCTTCTCGTGCTTTCCTAGATTTACAGACAAGTAATSTGAATAAATATGACAAGTGCAACGTCGATAATAGAATTGCTCGTTTTCAAACATTCCCMTGAGACTTAAAAGACAARAGACTGGTGCTGTCTTAATTTGTAATAAAATGTGGGTATAGAGCAATTTGATTTAATCCGTGAAATRAAAACTAAATAGTTCTTAAAAATAAGTCACTMTTYTATACTAAATAGATGATAGCACTGATCAAGCGAATCAAATCATAGTTCAATACCCAGGAGACATTAAATACCCAAGAATCAAATTAAGTCATTCATTCTTTATTTCATTTGTACTGTGATATAAATAAAAAAGAAAAAAATGAAATTGCTTGATTCTTGGGTATTTAATTATGTCTCCTGAGTATTGAACTATAAGTTGATTCGCTTGAGTGCTATCATCTATTTAAGTACAAAATAGTGACTGATTGTTAAGAACTATTWAGTTTTTATTTCRCGGATTAAATRAAATTGCTCTACGATATAATTGATMGGAAATAAAACACCACACAGTCCAAATATGAAATAATTAGACTGGAAAACTTCATCTGACTCTCTGAAYGTTTAAAAMAGTTGCGCTTRCGTTTCGTTTTCACTACCAAAATTAAAAGAAAAAAATTGATATCTTGGGCGATTTTCACTATGAAAAAAGTCCTCTTGCTTTTGCGCCTGCTCTAGTATCGCTTGTGAAAACACCASGCTTCGTCCAATTTTGTGACAGTACATTATAATTCCTCAATTGTATAGCATGAATCCCTATTACATATAATAATTTATCAACGAATACTACAACAACCAACTAAAAATCTCTTKTAAGAAATCTCTTTTAAAATGTAAATATTATCATTTTAATAATGTTGTTCAATTAAAGGCAGGTAATTGAATAAAATCATTAATGCCAGTTAAGTACCTTTTGATGCAATTGTCACGGCTACGAGAGCAAAGATGATCAACAGCTTCATTTTTCCACAAATTCTTTTGGCTTGAATTAGCAATAAAAGAGCACAGCTGTCCAGTGCAGTTATCAAAGTGAATTGAATAGCTTTATTTGAACTCCTGTGATTATTTATAGCGTCTCTCACGTTTTATTAATAGTAATTATCTAATGTAATTGGTAAGTGAGAAAAGAAGGAGGGATTTCACCCTCGCGCTCGGCTGGTTTTCAACACTGGGCCTACTTCAAAAACCGCTTTGAAGTTATTCACCTTTCCATTCGCTGGGTGCGCGAAATCACTAATAATTAATTACTACCAATAATTGTCTAATTTGATTGGGCTGATGAGAAGAGGGAGGTAAGTTATCCTGCTGTGTGTGCAAAAAATTAATGTCTGGTTATCCACAAAGGTACCGATTTCAAAAGCCGCTTTTAAGATGTTCAAGCTTTGATTTCAGACAGCAAATTCCATMACTATGTGCGTGAATATCGATTAAAGTAATTTAATTCTTTGTTCATTAAACCAAATTGATTTTATTTGAATATAGTTGTTGAATTTGTTCTCTTGGGATTGATTATAGCTTCATTCACATGTTTTACCAGTAATTGTCTGATATGATTGGAACGGGAGGCAATTCACCCTGCTGGGTGCGTCAAATTACTGTCTGGCTTTTCTGGTTTTCAATGCAGGTGCCCGCATTCACATTTTGACCCTGCTGGATGCGTAAAGTCAATAGAGGTACCTACTTCAAAATCTTCTTTGAAGTTATTTAGCCAAAAGTTTTGATTTCAAAAAGCAAATTCCATTCCTAAGCACCTAAATCAGATATAGAGTGCAAATAATATAGAGTAAAAACATTAAATGTGTGCAACACTTTCCACTATTTACTACAAAATAGTGTTAATTAAACAATAGAAAACAATAGAATTAACATAATTTAGCAGTATTTAGTGGATTTTGATTTTGCAGCAGCGCAAATAAAAGAAGATTATTCAACGCATTTTCTTGCGTATTGTGTGGTTATTTTAGATTTAATTGTGTCTTTTGTCGTTTTTGCRACAGCAGCTCAAAGGAATAGAGCAAACGCAGGAAAGCGATGAAATAAAATCAAACTCAATATTAACAAACAGCATCTATTTAGGGACAAATTGTCAGTATCAATGAATCAGAACGCAATAAAGATGAWTGAATCAAGCCGMCAATGGCGACACAACTCGAAGATTGTTAGACAGGTATACCGTGAACATAAATCTGTAATATAAAAATTAGGTAACACCTAATAGCGGAGCTCCAATAGTAAAACAGAAGCTGAAAATGATTATCTATAGTATTACTATTCMAAAGATAGCCTTATAGGACSTTATAGTAGAAAAGCGCTGTTCCAAGGAAATTGACATGCAAACAAATATTCTAAACATATTTATTCATTCTAGCTTAAGAAAGAGTCATGTTTATGAGAATTTCAAAAMCCGGGGTGCGTGAAATCACTGTCTGATTATTAAAGCATACTTTTAAAAGCCGCTAAAAGTTATTATTCATGCAAGTTTTGATTTCAGAACTGAAAACAAATTCCAWAACAAAGTGCGTGAACATCGATTAGAGTAATTTCTTCTTAGTTTATTAAAATTGATTTTATTTGAATTCAATTGTTTAATTTGTTCTCATGGGATTCATTATGACWTCTTTTACATGTTATACCAGTAATTRTCTGATATGATTGGCTGGGTGCGTSAAATTACTGTCTGRTTTTTCTGGTTTTCAACACAGAAYTTTGAGGAGGTTCAAGTTTTGATTTCAGAAAGAAAATCCCATAATTAAGTRTGTGATGTCCATGAAACTATTTTCTTCTTCTTTTAATTTGTTCTCTTGGGATTGATTATAGCTTCATTCACATGTTTTACCAGTAATTGTCTGATATGAYTGRAAGGRAGGGAATTCACCCTGCTGTGTGCGTCAAATTACTGTCTGATTTTTCTGGTCTTCAATACAGGTGCCCACATTCACGTTTTGATTAGATTTTCGATCAGACATTCGAAATCAATTAWWARTCATAACAAAAAGATTGGCCTCAAACCTCCTCTTTCCCGTTTAAAGCGAACAACCGCTGTTTAAGTTGACAACTTGTCATTACACATTAGCCCCACAAATTTTCACTTTCTCCGATTTGATCTYCTGTGGGACGAATACAGGCTAAGCCTCAAATTGGAGAGATTCAAAAAGCCAACTTGCGAATTTTGCCTCAGKAGTCACACACAAAGGAATCAAGACGAGTCGCCGTGCATAAAGCTCAGTCATTCGTGAAAAGACAATGGTCATCCACAATTGACTGAGCTTTACGCACGGCGCCTCGTCTCGATTCTTTTGTGTTTGACTACTGAGGCGAAATTCGCAAGTCGGCTATTCCTAGA